AAAACTTAGGATTTAATAAAGAAAATGAGATTTTACCATGAAAATAATTATGAAACTTAGTGAAAATCATATATTATGTTCCTAAGGTTATGGGTAACAACTTTCTTCAAAAGGTTTCGGAATCCGGGCGTGTGGGCCTGGGGGTGAATTTTAGGAATCTTGCAATTTTGGTTGGGTAATCACTTTAATAGTGGAGATATGAACTGTTGAGCAATAGATTGATCGATTTATATAATGTTTGGCTAGTTCCGAGTCGTTTGGCATCAAATTGGAGGTTTGAGCGCATTCTTGAATTGGGAAGTAAGCTTTGAGACGAGGTGAGTCTCTTTTCTAACCTTGTAAGATGGAACTTACCCCATAGGTGAACTTAATTAATATGCGTTGTTATTTATAGGGGGCTACGTATGCACAAAGTGACGAGAGTCCGTAAGTAGCTACTATTCCTGTTTAAGTCCGGGTAGTTTAAGGTTTATACCATGCTTATGGACACCGTTATTTGATTATATTTGTTGACTGTATCAAATGGAACTGAGTTAAGGGTTTTTTAAGGATTTAAAAGCTTCAAGTCGAATTGTCTTTATTTTGAAAAGAATCAAGGAAGGGTTATGATTTATTGATAAATTTATTTTTGACCGCGTCGCATGTATGATTCGCGAGCGGGGTAATAGATGCATCTATGATTCGTGCCGTTCGACCCTCGGTAGTGCACAATTTATATTTATGTTAGATCGGGCCGAACGTCCTCGGTGGCATTCGTGTGTGATAATAGAACTGGAAGTTCCTTTCATAATCGGTATAAATTCATTGTTTGTGTGATCATATGTTTTAAAGGAAAGAAGTGATTCAAGCTCTTAAATATTTCTGAAGACTTGTTCAGTTATTTCTTGTTCTGAGTCTTATTGTTGTATATACTGCTTAATTAAAATTTCATATTATCAGGTTATTGGCCCTAGTAAGTGTCGGAGTCGACCCCTCGTTAATACTTCTTCGAGGTTAGACTAGATACTTACTGGGTACATATTATTTATGTACTCACGCTATACTTATGTACAGGATCTGAGGCAAGTGCATCCGGTTACCCGTCTGGTGCTCAAATTTGATCCCCATCCCGAGACTTCACGGTAAGCTGCCTTCCGAGCCGTTCTACAGCAGCTGGAGTCTCCCTTATATTTTATTTTTTTCTGTCTATTTCATTTTAGACAGTAGGCTAGTGTCCTTTTGTATATTCTACTAGATTGCCCACATACTTGTGACACCAGGTCTTGGCACACACACTAGTAGACTTGTGATTTTGGGTTTGTTTACATAATTATGATTTGTATTCGTTTGCTTCCATTTAATTATGTCACATTCGCAAATTTCTAAATCTCTTTAATAAATGAGGAAATGTTATCCACTTAGTATTTTATTTAAATGGAAAACCATTACTTTGATCAGTGTTGGCTTGCCTAACAATGGTGTTGGGCGCCATCACAACCTAAGATGGAATTGGGTCGTGACACTGTTTGTCTAGAAGACACATGACACAAGTAGTGCCTGAATAATATTTGATTGTGGACAATAAATTGAAGGTTCCAGAAGAGCTTATATGCAAATTTGTCATTCATATTATATGATTATGGTTAAAACATATGTTGTAGTAAACCTGAAGTTTACTAATACAAATATCTATATGGAAGATTGAAAATCTTTATGTTTCCACAATAATACATGGTAAAATATTATGTATGTGAGAAGTTTACTAGTGCAAAAGCAGTCACAGTAAATCAAAAGTTTTACTGAGGCAAAAGTACTTACAGTAAATCATAAATTCGCTGATACAAAAGTAGCCACAGTAAATCAGAAGTTTACCCATGCAAAAGCAGTTACAGTACATCAGAAATTCACTGATACAAAAGTAGCCACAGTAAACCAGAAGTTTACTAATGCAAATGCAGTCACAGTAAGTCAGAAATTTTACTGAGGGAAAAGTAGCTATAGTAAATCATAAATTCGCTGATACAAAAGTAGCCACAGTAAATCAGAAGTTTACTAATGCAACAAGTTTATGTCATAGTAAACCAGAAGCTTACTAAGAGATAGCACATGCCATGATAAACTTGGAGTTTTTATTTGCCATTTTTAAATGAGCCATTTGAGAATTCAGATAAGCATATACTGAAGAACTAGAAGATTCTTCAAGAATTCTCTTGTGTTGCTTGTTCTCATAATAAATTGATTATACCAGCTAAAGTTGGGACTAAAACCCATGAATTCTAGACTATATAAAAGGTGAATATGGGCCCATTCACCTATCATGTGAACCACTTATAAATGCATATATGAGATGGTTACATGTGTCTTTATTGTCAACCTACAGTTTGGCATTTGAAATTGCCTTTCTCAATTAAGAGCATAATTTTTAGATTATGAAATCAAGAAAGTTCATGTTGATGATGTTGGTTTATATCCCAACTAGTTTAGCATTGAATACCTCCTATTAATGGCTAAACTATTGCTTATGAGAACAAAGCCTCATGTGTTGGTCTAAGATTTTCTAAATTGCATACAACAATACTTGCATGCATCAGACCAACAAAATATGATAAGTCATCCCCTCGCAATTGGTTTAGGATCAGAAACCAAATATTTTTACTATCTAATAACTTTTGATGTGTGGTATATGATTAATTTCTCTACCACAATGCACAAAGATAAGCTTCCTCACTTAGAAGATAATTCAAGTCAAATGCCCGAAGCATTTGCTGATCCAAAATTAAATATCATATTTCAGCTGCAAATACTCCTATTAAAATTAAAGTCCTTGAAGGATAAAGTTTACTGCACGCATGAAGCATAGTAAACCTATCGGTTCCAAAGGTAACAATCCTTGAAAAGGATAGGAGCAAATGATCATAATGAGGAGGAAATGAGTTCTAGAAGAGCCCGCGACATAATATTTCACGAAACTCCAGAAGAAGTTTAGGTGCCTGAAAATATAGAAAGTGATGAGATCTCAACAAGTTATGTCGCTTAGGAACCGATACAAAATGATCGTCGACGATATATTTGATACAATATAGTTCACAATATTGTAAAAGATTGTGAGGTCGGACCTGTAGTCCAGACACCTGAAGATGTCATGCCATTTAAATGCAAGTCATAACCTATATGACTCATTTGATTAAGTCTATATAAAGATCCCTGGAGGATTTAAAATGCCTAAAGCATATAATTCAAAGTATCGTGAAATGTACTCAATTATATTACAAAGATCTTTGTATGGTTTAAATCAATCTGGGCGCATGTGATATAATCGCCTCAGTGCATATTTGCTAAAAGAAGGTTACATAAATGATATTATTTGTCTATGTATTTTTTTAAAGAAAATGACATCACAATTTGTTATACTTCTTGTTTATGTTGATGGCATAAATTTTGTTGGAACTTCAGAAGAGTTCCAAAAAGGCAATTGAATATCTTAAGAAATAATTTGAGATGAAAGATCTTAAAAAGACAAAACTTTGTCTTGATCTGCAAATTGAACATTTAGCAGACATGATCTTTATCCATCAATCTTCCTAAAGAGAAAGAGTTTTAAAATGCTTTTACATGGACAAAGTGCACCCATTAAGTACACCAATGGGTGTTCGATCACTTGAACTGAATAAGGATCCGTTCCGACATCCGGAAGAGGATGAGGAACTCCTTGATCCTGAAATACCCTATCTCAGTGCAATTGGTGCACTTACATATCTTGCTAATGCTAACAAAGGTGGTATAGATCGTATTGGTTATACAGATGCAGGTTATTTATCTGATTTCCATAAAGCTCGGTCTCAAACCGGGTATGTGTTTACATGTGGAGGTACTGTCATATCATGGTGCTTCACAAAGTAATTTATTGCTGCTACTTCTTCAAATCATGCTGAGATAATCGTTATTCATGAAGCAAGTAGGGAATGCGTATGGTTGAGATCAGTGATTCATTTTATTCGAAAAAAATGTGGGTTGGAATGTGATAAAAAAACCCACAACATTATACGAAGACAATGCTACATGCATAGCCCAATTAAAGGGATGATTTATAAAAGGAGATAGAATGAAATGCATTTCACCAAAATTATTCTACACACATGATCTTCAGAAAAATTGTGACATCGATGTGCAACAAATCCGTTCAAGTGACAATCCAGCAAATTTGTTCACTTTGCCAACTTCAACTTTTGAGAAGATGGTATACAAGATTGGAATGCGGAGACTCAAATATTTGGAACAATGTTTTCATCAGGGGGAGTGAAATATGCGTTGTACTCTTTTTTTCTTACGAAGGTTTTTTCCATGGGGTTTTTCTTGTAAGATTTTTAATGAGGCAGCTAGAATTGCGTATTACTAAATATGTGTACTCTTTTTCCTTCACTAGGATTTTTTCCGTTGGGTTTTTTCTAGTAAGGTTTTAACGAAGTACAATATCTTTTAATGAACATCCAATGGGGAGTGTTATAAATATATTATATTATGGATGTTCATTTATTACTTTGTTGTAAATAAGCTTCCTGAAGAAGCTTATCCATATGGGATTTCGCCGTAAATATGAAGAAGCTTATCCTTTCGGTACTCCGTTATGGATAAATATTACCCCTGGTAGAAGATTATCTATATCTGGTACAGTAGCAACTTACAAGCAGCTTACACAACAGCTTAGAGTAGCAACTTACAAGCAGCTTACACAGCAACTTGCAGTAGCATCTTACAAACAGCTTACACAGCAGCTTGCAGTAGTATCTTACACAACAACTTCCTTTCTTCTATAAATAGAGGAGAATTCAATTCATTATTTACATCAGTTTGAAGTTGAATAAAAATATCAATCTTCCTCTATTCTTGTCTTTAATTTATTTACTTTACGGTCTTTATTTTATAACATTGATCTTATTTTTGAACATTTCTCTTTCCCAATTGCCTAACCAGTCATAAAGTTTGGAAATTTCAGAGAGAAAAGAAGTAATTCCTTTATTTGTCCCCTATTCCCACTGTTCCACATTCCAAAATACTTGTCTTCAATCATTTCAATTGCCACTCACCCCCTCCACTTTTTAATCTAAATCCAACTTGGATCCCATTTAAATCTCTCACTTTCCGTTGACGCCGCCGCCGTCCATTTGGCCTTAGCTGTATAGAATTCACTCCCCTCATTATACCACCGGTAGAAGTGTCGCCGTCACCGTGATCTGACGCCACATTCCCTCGTGGCTGACGCAGTCACATTATTGCCAGTTTTTCAGTCAAAGCAAAAAGCCTAAAATAGAAGAAATACTGGAGAAGTAATAAATAGGAGTAGTAATAAAAGTTAGAGAAAAAAATAAACAAATAAAAAGCCGCCTTTTTTTCTTTTCCTTTCTTCTTTCGTTTCATTGACCTTTTCCTAATTCAACTTGTACTGATTTCTTCATTTTTCTTCCTAATTTTTCTCTAAGAGATTTCGTACAGAGAGAAAAAACATGAATGGAGTCGCTCCGCCGAGGAGTTCGGGTTCCGACGGTGGCGCCGTCGAAAGTACGACGGTTCTCCGGGCTTATCAGACCTGGAAAGGCAGCAACGTAATTACTCTATTATTTTCCTCAGCTCCTCGTACTTTAAGCATATTTTAGGTTTTATAATGTTTTTATAGTATGATGTTGTATTTTTCTGCATGAATTTTTCTCCATTTTCTGTAGGAGTTGGATTGATTGGAATCGATTTATTATTTTGATCTTGAACTGCTTGAGATAATTGAAATCTACAATACTATTGATTTCATTATTGCCTCCTTTTCAGATTATTTGAACTTTTGGCTGTTGAATTAGTCATTCATAGTCGATATTTTGGAATTAGTTTTCTGACACGTAGTAGATTTTAGCTTTTGGAAAAAAGTTTGATGCCGTTTGGATCAGAGATAAGAGTCTGTTTGAGTGAATTGAGAAATGGAAATAAGAAACTTAAAAATGGAATGCTAATTATATTATGCTCTCAGAATCATTATAAGATGGGAAAGTGATCTTGCTAGGTTGTGCATTAATAGAGAAAAGGGTAGGAAATTATTGAATGAAAAAGGATTCGGTGTAGGTAATTGTTCAGTATCTGGTTGAGGTTGCACCCAAAGATGTGACGTAACGGTCAATGAGGTTGGATGAGAACCTGGGGAGACTACGGTTCAAATTCCAGTAGAGACAAAAATATCAGGTGATTATTCTCGTTCTGCTAGTGGAGGTATCAGGTACTTGATGGAATAGTTGAAGTGGGCATAAGCTTACCTGAATAACACTGTATAGAAAATAGCACTACTACAATTTGAGGTTTCGGAGCTGGAGAAATCAAAATTGAGGAAAGAAAAGTTGTAAGAATTGCTCCAGTAACCTTAGGTATCTCTCTGGGGATGAGAAGTAAATACGAACACTCAGGAAAAGCGGAACTGCTTCAAAATTCTGTAGCACTACTACAATTTGAGGTTTTGGAGCTGGAGAAATCACAATTGAGGAAAGAAAAATTGTAAGAATTGCTCCAGTAACCTTAGGTATCTCTCTGGGGATGAGAAGTAAATATGAACACTCAGGAAAAGCGGAACTGCTTCAAAATTCTGTACTTTCTACTCTCAAAATCAAAAAGAAACACAAAGATAGTATTTATAGAACCCGAAATCCTTTCCTCATCCAGAATAACTACTCCTAAACAAAATCTATTTACCTTAAGGGTCCAGAACCATAAGCTACCTCAACTTATAAAAGGAAATAAAATGAAAAAGAACCATAAGCTACCCAAAAAATGGTAATATACTATCTATTTCCAGAATTTCTTGCAAAATGTGACAAATCAGATTAAAACAGTAATACACAAATACCTTAAGTTGAAACTCTAGATAAAACTATAAGATCAGAAAGAAAGACAAAGAAAAAAAACACTTATATACTAATTAAGACCAGACAAAAGCGTGAAATGACTCAATATTCTGGTTGCTGTTATATTGAAGCAATCATCACAATTCAATTTTATCTTAGTTTACTTTCTCTTGTGTTTCTCACGGACTTAATTGTGTGTGGATGAGATTGTGATGTATTGCTACTAAAGAACTTTACTCTTTGCCTTTTGCCATAAAGAGCAGCAAGTATTCCTGGCGTGTTATCCCAATCAGCTATATTGTTGTTTGTTGTCAAAATTTTGACAGTTTTCTGTATTCCTGTTTGTCTTAAATAGCATATCTCATGATTTTGCTACTCTTCCTCAGTTCTAAGTATTGCCTCTTGATTGTGCAGAAATTTTGTCTTCAAGGAAGGTTTATATTTGGGCCTGACGTGAGGTCACTCTTTATGACTATCTTCCTTATAGTTGCCCCAGTTGCTGTGTTTTGCGTCTTTGTTGCAAGGAAAATTGTGGATGACTTTGCTGGTCATTGGGGGTGGTCTATCATGGTCGTGGCGGTCATTTTTACACTATATGTAAGTTCTTATATTCTGTTTCCTCTGAAAACATGATTCCAAAATCTTTATATACCTGTAACATTATATGGTTACGTTGACCATCTTAGTTGGTGGGAATTAAAGCAAGCATTCTGCCTTTTGTCCATTTTCGGATAATGGTTTTTGCCACTAGTTTCATTTGCTTTAGCTGTTTCTTTTCCTGCTTTGCATTTGCATTCAATTGGGCATAGGATTTTAAATTAAGTCCAGTGATTCATGAGTGATAACAAGTTTAGTTTGCACAATAATTGTAAATGTTGACAATTTGTCAAAAAGACCGTGTTATGATTCACTAATTGTGATCTAAATGCAAGAGATCTTCTGCCATTGCGTAACTTTGTATCTTGATTACTATTGTAAATCCACAGTTTCATCAAAAGTGAAACTGTCAGGGAGTTGGTTTCTTTGACCAGCCTAATCTCTTTAGCTTCTAAAACTGGAGCATGCTTAATGACTTATTTCTCAAAAAGACTACATGCTAGTTCCAGTCTGTTTAGATGCCTTTGGCGATTGGCTTAGTCTGACAATCTATTGCTCAACCAACCTAAGCCTTTCCTAGCTACTCCATTAGTGCATGGGTTCTTTTTAACAGGAATTCTCCTTGTAAGACCACATCTTTTTCTAGTTGTATTAATTCTTTTTAATGTAGGCAATATGGATTGAATGCATACTTATAATAAATATGGATTGCATGGATAATTATGTCAAAAATATAAAATGGTCAGTCGTGCTTGGTTAGACAAGAGGCTGGAGATATTTTGGATAGACAACGCAGATTATATTTTGAAGTGGATTCAATTCAGTCCCATCTTCTGCCATTTTCTCCAGTTGAATAAAATGAATTTCTGCAATTAAACGGGGATGAATATTGTTTCATAAATTACTAGACACCAATGTAGTCTGGATCATTTTTTTTTCTGATAAAGTACTCTGGATCATCAACATTTTAAAATCTACTGAGCAAAGAAGGGACACTAACTAATGGCAATAACAAGGAAACATGCTGCTGTCTATTTAAGAAAAAGTGGAAGTCTGTGCATAGAAAGCATGCAGGTTTCATCAATTCTCAAGAGAATAATAAAATTAAGACAGATTTTTTGCCAGATACTTTCTTGCCTTCTGTACTTGAAGAGTTTCCATTTACTGGATAATTCCTGTGTTTCTCCCTTTCCTCTTTACTGTGTCGGGGGACTTCAGTAATTTTATCATACTGACGTTCTATTGCTTAGCTATAAGGAATATATAAGCTTTCTGCAAAGAATAGAGATGTCTAACCACAGCATACAGATGGTAGTGATGAAAATCTGGTGGGGGGTGGGGGGTGGAGGACCACAAACATCTGATGTTGTGTGGTTTCGTGATGGAAGTTTCGATGTTCCTTATTATTTACTGCACTAGGGATTTTCTTTTGCAGTTTTATGATCATTTCCTGGTGTCACATGAACGTGGATGGCCTGTTTCCTTTTTTTTTCCTCGAGTATCATGTTGAAGTAGATGAACTTCTGAATTCTTAGTACGAAAATGATTTCTGATGTTTCTTGCTAATTTCCGTAACAGAAAGGAACTACTAAATGGGTTGTCTCCTGATCTGTTTTATTAATTTATTCTATGGCCAAGAGGGAATATGATTCATGAGTCAAAGTAGAATGTAATATAGGTTTTTTTTTTCCTAAAGGTCTTAGTCCTTCTTCTACTAACATCTGGAAGAGATCCTGGTATAATTCCTCGCAATCCTCATCCTCCGGAGCCAGAAAACTTTGAAGGAAGTGCCCAAGCTGGACCTGGTCAAACTCCACAATTACGTTTGCCCCGCATCAAGGAAGTGAATGTCAATGGAATAACTGTAAAAGTTAAATATTGTGATACCTGCATGCTGTATAGGCCTCCACGCTGTTCTCACTGTTCAATTTGCAATAACTGTGTGGAACGTTTTGACCATCACTGTCCCTGGGTAGGGCAATGTATTGGATTGGTGAGCACTTTTATCCTAGTCACTTTTCTCTTGGACCCTACGATATGTTCATTCTTTTCCAGTTTTATTTTCCTCTTGAAAAGCATGACTGTTATTGTTGTATTTACCAAAAAATGTACTTGATATTTTTCTTTTCCAGCAAGCCTTGCAATGATCAAGTGTATTAACTTAGAACTGGTTATCTGCTAAATATTTGAGATTACAGAATGAGTAAATCGGGTGGGGATGGCTCTTGTTTTTATTCGTTATTTTAACAAAATTTCTTATATAAAACGTTTTCTGATTGCAATGTTTCTGCGCATCTTCTCTTCACTTAATCCAGTTAGCACATCTTGGCCGTCTTCCTTGTTGTGATAAGGACATCTTGTCTTAAAGTTGTGGAAATAAATTGTTAGAACTTGTTTTTCTAGATTACGCTGGAAACTGTTTTGCTAGTCTGACAGCAAAGATTCTTCTTTTGTTATTGCCTTCATTGAAAATTTCTCACTTTAATGCTTTAGCTTCAAATTTGAACAATGTTCTGTTTGGTGGTGCAGAGGAATTACCGTTTCTTCTTCATGTTTGTCTTCTCAACAACTCTTCTTTGCTTATACGTTCATGGCTTCTGCTGGGTCTATATTAGAAGGATCATGGATGGTGAGCAGACCACAGTCTGGAAAGCAATGGCCAAGACTCCGGCCTCCATTGTGTTAATCATTTATACATTCATATCAGTCTGGTTTGTTGGTGGCCTGACTGTCTTCCATCTTTATCTTATCGGCACAAACCAGGTAATATATTCGTCTTCACAGCTGGGGCATTTCAGTTGTTTTCCCTTCTTTTTCTTTTTTCGTATCCAAAAAGTTTTCCTGCTTCAGTTCTATAAATGATTCGAACTCGTGAAGGCCTTCAATTTCTAGGATTAAAGTACTTGTTTTTGATACTTGACTCTTCTATGTGCTTGCAGTCGACATATGAGAACTTTAGATATCGATATGATCGGCGGATCAATCCCTTTGACAAAGGTGTACTCCGTAACTTCTTAGAGATATTCTGCACCAGTATTTCTCCTTCCATGAATAGATTCAGGGCCAAAGTACAGAAAGAACCCGAGATACCAGCTCGTGAAGTGGCTGGTGGTTTTGTTAGCCCGAACTTGGAGAAAACTATGAGCGACTTAGAAATGGGAAGGAAACCAGCTTGGCGTGAGATTGCAAGAGGAAGTGGTGATTTTGAAGGACAGCCTAGAAATGATAGTCAGTTAGATAAGGATGAAGAGCTCTCGGCTGCATCCCCAGAGCTAAGCAACTCCACCTTGGCTGAGGGGCGTAGTATCCTACATCCCAGACGCTCTAGTTGGGGAAGAAGAAGTGGAACTTTGAACATACCACCTGATGTAATTGCCATGGCATCTGAAATTGGAGAGTCTAATCGGACTACTGTCAGTGATAGTGCTTACCGGACTGACTACCAGCAATAGTAGCTGATCTGGATGCTGTTTAAATTATTGTAGAAAAACTGACAAATAGAGATCTTAAGCCAGAGGATGATAGAATCAATGGATGGGATCTGATTATCCTTGAGGTGTGCTGTTGTGTGTATAATTCTATTTATTTTTTTTTTAAAGTTCTTTGAAATGTGTTTAATCTTTTTGCGATAAAGTTGAAATATGTGCTTAATCTGCAAAGAGACTCCCCCNAGATTCAACTTTTATTTCTACTTCATCCCTCTCTTCACTTCTTGGTAATTACCTTTAGTTGTTACAGACTGGAATCTATGGTCCACTCCAGCTACCACCATTTTTCTCAAGATGTACGCACTTCTTTGATTTGCAAAGTCGTCTTCTAGAGAAACACATGTTAGTTTTGCAAGGATGAAAATGAAACAAAATAACGAAAGAGAATATTCAAAGGCAAGTATAAACATTTGTCTTTAATCAGAAGTCAATATTAGGAAGGAGAAAAAAAAAGGAAGTGTCATTTACGTCATCCATTTTCCCTGAGTGCCCTCCATTAGCAAGACTTGTTTGTTGATGGACAGGATTATGGGGTTTATTATCTTTTGGGTTATACTCAGAGGAACAAAAGTCGAAAATAGGATTTTTTTTTTTTTTTTAAACTTTTAATAAATATTAAGAACTTTGATAAAACCTAGCAATTTTGCACGAATGCTCATACAGCAGTATGTCAATTCGATTAGAGATCTGATGTGATGCACTTCAAATTTTTCTTCTATAGACATTTTGGACCTTTCATGCAAAAATCATCATGAGTCAATTTATGAATCTACACTTCAAAATCCCAAACTGGTTGACCATACAAATCTTTTGAATTTACTAATCGTCCTGCTCTACTCAGTTTCAGGGAATTTTTTTGTAACATACATACAGTAATATATAAAAGTGGGCAATTGGTCTTTTACTGTACTTAAACCGTCCATGCATTTCAAAGGATGTGGATGCTTCAAACCGTCCATCTTTATCGCTCTAAATCCAGGATAAACATTATTGGCACAGCCAAAACAGAGTTTTTAACGGAGGGGTCCCAATATCGATATGTAACGATATCCTTACATGACAAGTGACAACTATCCTCCTGCCCTAACGATTGTGAGACACCATTAGTAAATAAAATTAGAGATAGCATCCTGCAGCTAGTAGATTAACCAACAAGAAACATCAATAAAATTGCACCAGAAAAGTACTGCTAGTGACAACTGTAAGTATGTGGGAATGGAAAAGTAAGCAAAATATGAAGCTAATCGCTCTTCACTGCATGTTCCGAAAGCGTTTGACAATAATGAGGCTCATATCTATGTAGCGTTGTGCACAGTTGGTTAGACAATAAGATTCGCTGGAGCTGAACTTGCTTCCGGGAGTTCCAGTGATGCATTTGTCCCAGCAAGCACTTGTAAGCTTTCCAACCATTTCAGTCATCATAGCCCTTTCCTTCTCTTGCTGTAGAAATTAAGGATTCAGGAGCTAATATTAGTGACATGAACACATATAGGGCAATCAGAAAAGCAAAACACAACAGTTGACTGATGTTCTATAAATCACTCTGGAGCTCTTAGCCTCATATGGCGAAAGAGGAAAAGGCAGTGAACAAGATCAGAACAAGCCTCACAAGTCACAAATATGTATCGTTATGAAGAGGCAGGGAATGGTTGACAACTAGCTAGAGAAGTTACTAATAAACTGATATTCAAAGGAAAAAACATAAATTAATCATCAGGCAAAACTTGACTAAGAATCCTGTTTTAACAATCAAAAGAATATCCTGTTTCATTTGTGTGTTGTGTCCAACAGGCAGCATAGAGTAAACTTCATGTTGTACTGTTAAACAAGTTTAAAGATTTTAGTGAAACAAAAATTAAAGATACTAATTCATTAATCACTAAAGTAAAATCCAAAAATAATGAGTTAAGATCAACTTACTAAAATACATATCATTCCAAGATTGTTTTCACACATTCCTTGTAAATGACTTTCACCAAGACTTCCTGGTGAAGATGGATTGCACGGGAATTAGGATATAATCTGTCATCCCACGAACAAAACTAACTAGCAAATAAGATTTTCATGCAGCTAGAGTAAGATCAATGGACTTACATAAGTATCCTTTTTTATGTTCTTACAGTAAATGCTTTTTTTTATGATCAGTAAGTAAGAATTTTATTCCACAAAAGCACACCAACAAGGTGCAGGAATATGTACAAGCAAAAGTTAGTGCCCCTTTATAAATGAAGTGAACTAAGAAATACAAGTAAGGTGTCATAATCATAAACATTTTGCATCCTACACCAAAATGCCACAAAATATAAAGATCAGTATTTAAGCCTATGTACTGATTCAACTTTCCCCTCAGATAGATGCTTATTTTATAATACCACCTCGGGTTAGAGGTTACTAGGGATTGCTCATTTTCTAGTGCCTTATCTTCTATCTCGCAAAAGTAGGACTTCAGGAATCTAAGCCAAAGAGCAAAACGAAGGAACCAATTTCTCAACTAACCAGATCAATATCTAATTTTTATAGAAAGAATTACTGTATTATTCACAGAAATGTACCATTTTAAATTTCTTGTGATCGTTTTATCCATAGTATCTTGCTTTAACAGTAATAATCTCCAAATTAGTTTTCAGTTATCTTGTCAGTATAAAAACGTTTCAGAAAGAAAGACTCATGTGAGTTAATAACACCACACTAACCAAAGCTACCCCCACATTTTCAACTTTAGAGTTATAAAATTCAAAAGAACAAAAGAAACAAGAACGACACTCAATATTTTCTAAACTATTTGATTAAAAGCAGCTCAAGTATCGCACCCAAGGGTGTGGCCTAATAGTTAATGAAGTGGGTTGAGAACCATGACGTCTCAGGTTCAAATACTAGTGGAGGCAAAACACTAGGTGATTTCTCCCTATCTGCCTAAGCTTTGGTGGACAAAGCTACTTGTTCCTGATGCTGGTGGAAGGTAGCAGGTATGCCTGTATTAGTCGAGGTGCGCGCAAGCTGGCCCGGACACCACAGTTATAAAAAAGAAAAAAAGCAGCTCAAGCATCGTCTAGAACACAATGGAATACCATTTAAAGCTCCAAGAAAGAATCTCAAAGCGTGAGAAAAAACAGATAAAACGAAGTCGCATAATTAGCTTCTACCAGAAAAATGAAAATAACAAAAAAGGGTATCTGTGTAACCTCTATAAGCAAAATCAAGAGCAGATTCAAATCCTTAATACTATAAAATTTATCAAGATTAGTTTCCTTCTGAAAGTGACCTAACTTACTTTAGACCAATATTAATAAAGTAGACAATTCCTCTCCTATAACCAAGTAGAATAAAGACCTCAACACTAAATACCTAGAATAACAGCAATCAGGAAAAGCATAAAAAAATTAACAAAAACAAACTCAGAATTAAGCATCAGTCCTACACACACCCGCTAACACAGAATATATATATGCCAATGAAAATTAGCTAAAACTCCAACATCACAGGAAGAAAAAAATCAATATACAAATACTCATGAAATTGAGCACAAAGCTGAATGGATTAGTAAATCTGAACAACTCACTTCGAGAAGTTGCTGTAATTCTGGGGACTGAAGAGCTGAAGGATCCATGGAAACTTTTCCAAAATTGACTTGAAGGAAAATTTATTGACTTGAAAAACCCTATGCAAAACCCTATGCCGATTGAGTCGGATTATATTAAGATGAACTATAATTAGACAGCTGTGTAGTTGTGTTGGATTGGCCCATAAGTTACTTATGTCCGGTCGTCTTGAGTTCTAACTTTTCATTTCATGCTTTGAAACCTTACATTGTCTTATTTGATGATTTTTGACTTGTTTGCATGGTCCGTGTTGATTTTCGGAAGGTTTAAATGTGATTTTTTAAAGAAAAATTAATTTTTGAACTTCAAAATAGTTAGAGTTGATCACGATCAATATTGTTGGTAAACAACCTCAGATTGGTGTTTGTACAATTTCGGTAGGTTTGTATGATGCTTTTAGACCTGTACTGATGTTTGATTGGGGTTTCGGGTGACCCGAGGCCGTTTCAGCGATTATTGTGAAAAGTTAAAATTTGAAGTTATGAACTTTGAAATGCTTGAGTTTTGATGCTTGATTCTTGATTGTAGATGTTATTTTGACGTTTTGAACTTACGAGCGAGGTCGTAAGATGTTATTATACTTGTGTGGATGTTTGGATTGGAGCCCCAAGGATTCACGTGAGTTTCGGATGGGTTCCGAATTGATTTGGTAAGAATTGAGTGTGCTGGTGCTGTAGACATCGCAATTGTGATGGTTTGTTCGCAAATGCGAGAACCATATTTGCGAGAGATGCTCGCATTTGCGATATTATGGGGATTTGGGGCAGCTTCGCATATTTGCGAAGCTCAGTTCGCATTTGCGATATGCCATCCTTCACATTTGCGAAGTTTCTGTCGCATTTACGACTGCCACAATTGCGATACTTCTGTCGCAATTGCGAGATCTGAGGCCCAGGGGCTGGTTCATATTTGCGATAAGCTGTTCGCTTTTGCGAACATTACAATTGCGATATGGTGGATTTTAAGGTCATCATTATTAATGGTTTTGATACTATAATTGATCTCTTATTGTTGAATATGGTGGATTTTAAGGTCATTCTTGGTATGGATTGGTTGTCCCTATATCACGCTATTTTGGTTTGTCATGCCAAGACTGTTACTTTAGTCATGTCGGGGCTTCCTAGATTAGAGTGGAGAGGGACCCTCGGCCATTCTATTAGTAGGGTGGTTTCATTTTTGAAGGCTCTAACTTTCTAGTGCGAAGGTTCCTTCTATGGATTCAGTGCCGGTTGTGAGGGAGTTCCTAGAGGTATTTCCTGTAGATTTACTGGGCATGCTACCGGATAAGGATATCGACTTTTACATTAACTTGGTCCCAGGCACTCAGCCCATTTCTATCCCACCGTACCGTATGGCTCCAATCGAGTATAAGGAATTGAAGGATTAGTTGCAGGATTTGCTTGATAAAGGATTCATTAGGCCGACTGTTTCACCTTGGGGTGCACCAGTGTTGTTTGTAAAAAAGGACGGATCGATGAGGATGTGCATTGACTATTGGCAGTTGAACAAGGTTACAATCAAGAACAAGTATTCGTTGCGTAGGATTGATGATCTGTTTGACCAGCTTTAGGGTGCCAAAGTATTTTCCAAGATTTATTTGAGATATGGCTACCATTAGGTGAAGATTAGGGTATCAGATTTCCCTACGACAACTTTTAGGACTCGCTATGGTCATTGTGAGCTCTTGGTGATGTCATTTGATTTGGCTAATGCTTCAGCAGCCTTCATGGATTTGATGAATCGAGTGTTAAAGCCTTATTTGGATTCCTTTGTGATTGTGTTTATTGATAATATTCTAGTTTACTCCCGTAGTAGAGAAGATCATGAGCAACACCTATGGATTGCACTTCAGACTTTGAAGGATCATTAGCTTTATGCCAAGCTTTCGAAGTGTGAGTTCTGGTTGGGATCAACTGCCTTCTTAGGTCATGTTGTATCTCCTGATGGTATCAAGGTAGATCCTAAGAAGATTGAAGTAGTTCAGAATTGGCCTAGACCTAGTTCAACTACAGAGATTTGAAGCTTCTTGGGTTTGGCGGGCTACTATCACCGTTTTGTGAAAGGATTTTCATCTGTCGCAACCCCGTTGACCAGGTTGACTTTGTGAGGAGAGCTTTTAGAAGCTCACGACTTCTTTGACTATAGCCCCGATGTTGGTGTTTCCCACAGGTTTGGGGCGTTATACTATGTATTATGATGCTTCACGTATTGGGCGTGCCACAATATTGATGCAAGACGGTGGGGTGATTGCCTACACATCTCGTTAGTTGAAGTTCCATGAGAAGAGCTATCTTTTGCATTATTTGGAGTTGGCAGCTATTGTGCACGCGCTCAAGATTTTGAGGCACTACTTATAAGGCATGTCATGTGAGATTTACATCGATCATCAGAGTCTCCAGCATCTATTCAAGCAAAAGGATCTGAACTTGAGGCAGGGGAGATGGTTAAAGTTGTTGAAGGACTATGATATTAGTATATTATATCATCCGAAGAAGGCTAATGTGGTGGCCAACGCCTTGAGTAGGAAGGCAGAGAGCATGGGCAGTTTGGCATTTATACCAGTAGTAGAGTGGCCATTGGCTATGGATGTTCAGGCCTGACTAACAAATTCGTGAGGTTGGATATTTCGGAGCCTAGTAGGGTTATTGCTTATGTTGTGGCGTAGTCGTCTTTATTAGAGCGAATCAAGGCTCGCCAATTTGATGATCTTCACTTGTTGGTATTGAAAGACATGGTGCAGCACGGTAGTGCTAAGAAGGGCATGATTGGGGATGATGGTGTTATGCAGCTTCATGGTCGGATTTGTATTCTAGATGTTGATGGTTTGAGAGAGTTGATCCTTGAGAAGGCTCGTAGCTCACATAATTCTATTCACCCATGTGTCACGAAGATGTATCATGACTTGAAGCAGCATTATTGGTGGTGGAAGATAAAGAAAGAGATTGTTGGACATGTCTCTCGATGTTTTAATTGTCAGCATGTGAAGTATGAACATTAGAAACCAGGTGGTTTGACTCAAAAGTTGGTACCAAAGTAGAAGTGGGAGCACATCACTATGGATTTTGTAGCAGGCTTACCATGAACTTTGAGGAAGTATGATGTTGTTTGGGTCTTTGTGGACCAGTTGACCAAGTCCGAAAGTTTCATTCCGGTGATGACTTCCTACATTTCAGAGAGGCTACCTCAGATCTATATTAGGGAGATTATTCGCCTACATGGTGTGCCCATTTTTATAATTTCAGGTCGTGGCGCGCAGTTCACTTCACACTTTTAGAGAGCTATTCAGTATGAGTTGGGCACACAGGTTGAGTTGAGTATTGCATTTCATCCTCAAACAGACAGACACTCCGAGCAAACCATTCAGATTTTGGAGGATATGTTGAGGGCCTAAGTTATTGATTTCGGAGGCCAGTGGGATCAATTTCTCCCATTAGCAGAATCTGCATACAACGTCAACTACCAGTCGAGCATCCATATGGCTCCGTATGAGGCCTTATATGGAAGACGATATCGTTCTTCGGTTGCTTGGTTTGATCCTGGTGAGGTTAGATTGTTGGGCACATATTTAGTTCGTGATGCTTTGGAGAAGGTAAAATTATTTCAGGAGAGGCATTATATAGCACAGTCCAGACAAAAGAGTTATGCTGATAGGAAGGTTCGTGATATGGCTTTCATGGATGGTGAGAAGGCTCTTCTTCGAGTTTCGCTTATAAAGAGCGTGATGAGATTTGGGAAGAAGGGCAAGTTGAGCCCGAGATTTATTGGCTCATTTGAGATCTTAGAGAGAGTTGGGGAGATTTCTTATAGGCTTGAATTACCTCCCAGCCTAGCAGGGGTACATCCGGTATTTCATATTTTTATGCTCCGACAATATCATGAAAATAAGTCGCATGTATTGGACTTCAGCACAATGTAGTTTGATGGGGATTTGACTTATGACGAAGAGCCGGTAACCATTCTAGATCGACATGTTCAAAAGTTGATATCTAAGGATATTTCTTCTGTAAAAGTACTTTGGAAAGGTTAGCCAATTGAGGAGGCTACTTGGGAGTCCGAGTTTGATATGAAGAGTGGATACCCACACTTTTTTACCAGTTTAGTTCCATTTCTATGTCCCTTCAAAGATGAAAGTTTCCTTTAGAGGTGGAGAATGTAACGATCTGATAGGTCATTTTCAGTTCTAGCTTCCCATTTCGTGATTGAGACCTTACATCGCCTCATTTGATGATTTATTACTTGCATGCATGATCCGTGTTGACGATTCTAGTAGGTTCGTATGATCGGTGTTTGGACGATTCTGGTAGGTTCGTCTGATTATTTTGGACAGTACACATGTGTGCTTGGGGTTCCGGGTGAATCGAGGCTGTTTCGGCGCTTATTGTGAAAATTTAAAATTTGAAGTTATGAACTTTGAAATCTTTGAGTTTTGATGCTTGATTCTTGATTGTAGACATGTGTGGTTAGGATGTTACTGTACTTGTGTGGGTGATTGGGTTAGAGACCGAGAGGCTCGGGTGAGTTTTAGATGGGATATGGACTGATTTGGTAAAAACTGAGTGCTCTGGTGCTGCAGATATCGCAATTATGATGGTCTATTTGCAAATACGAGCATCACATTTGCGATACTGGGGGAGTTGAGCAGATTTGCATTTGCGAAGCTCAGTTCGCATTTGCGATGTACCATTCTTCGCATTTGCGAAGTTTATGTCGCATTACTGACTCCCGCAATTGCGATACTTGTGTCGCAATTGCGAGATCTGAGGCTCAAGTGATGGTTCGCATTTTCGATTAGTTGTTCGCTTTTGGGAACATTTCAATTGTGAACAAGAGTTCGCAATTACGATACTTGCAGTTGGGTAAAAATGAGGGTTTCAGGATTTAGCTCATTTTATTCCATGTTTGAGGCATAGACTCAACATAGAGGCGATTTTGGAGAGAAATGTCTTCCCAACTTTATAGGTGACGAGCACAAAACATACTATAAAATTAAGCTCGTGCTACGTCGAAGATAGTTTAGAAAGTTATTGTCTCCACAGTGATTGGACTAAACAATGTTCAAGTAATTTGTAGTTAAATTATATCCATGATGATTAACACCTTGATTGGGAATGATTTTGAACTATAGTTACCTACTAAAAGAAAAGCAAATAACAATTGGTCACGAAGAACT